TGTGTGTGTGTGTGTGTGTGTGTGTGTGTGTGTGTGTCAACAGGCGTTGTTGTCGGTTGTGCAGAGGGAGCTGGGTCAGTTGCAGGAGCTGAACGGCCTGCAGAGGAAGAGAGCCACCGAGGTCCTCAACCTGCTGCTGCGGGACCTCAGTGACATCGGCGCCATCATCGGCACCAGCGACGCCAAGGCCACTGGGGTGAGCACACACACACACACATACAGCATAAACACATACACTCGCACGTCAATCCCCTCTCTGACAACCCTCTGCGCCACACCCCTCCAGTCCTCAGAGACGAATGGGAACGGCTCGGCGGTGGAGGAGGAGTTCACAGTCGCTCGCCTTTACATCAGCAAGATGAAGTCTGAGGTCAAGTCGCTGGTGAACCGCAGCAAACAGCTGGAGAGCGCTCAGGCAGACGCCCACCGCAAGATCCAGGCCAATGAGAAGGAGCTGGCATCCTGTCAGCTGCTCATCTCCCAGGTAACAGTCACCTAGGTAACTGCTGTCACCTGACTGTTATCCTGCGGTGTGTGCTGTCGTGTCTGGGGGTCATTAGTTGTCTTGTTCAGAGCAGCTTTAGCATTTTTACCCATTAATGTTTAACATGATGACGTTCAAGCTCAAATGTCCCAAATGGCTTTAAAATGTGATTTAATTAATAAAAATTAATAAAATAAAATGTGCAGTTATATGAAGAAACAAGTGCTCTGTGGCATTCATGGTTTTACATTGTGTCCAGCACCAGGCCAAGATCAGGTCTCTGACTGACTACATGCAGAACATGGAGCAGAAGAAGAGGCAGCTGGAGGAGAGTCAGGATGCTCTGACTGAGGAGCTGACCAAACTGCAGGCTCAGGGTCAGTGCCTGGCCATCCCCACTAAACAAGCCTCGTTTTGAACGCGTACGATTTAATGTTTGTCAAATACGTATTTCACTAATTTCATTTCACGTGTTTCTCAGAGAAAAGACACGAGATGATGGGGCTGGACATGGAGAAGGAGGACATCGGCCGACTGGACGGAGGCGAGGAGATCAAGGTGAACAGTCAAATTACGTTATGTCAGTTCAGTCCCTTCCTATAAGCCAACTAGGTGGCTAGAATCATCCATCGTAAGCAGAATATGGGTCATGAGTCTTGTTTGATCCAAAACTTCTCCATCTAGTGACAAAATACTTGAATAAGGCACATTTATAAAGATGTATGTAATATATGATTTCATGTTATATCATTAAAATGAATAAGTGCATACAAAAGCTGGCCTATCCCCTGTGAGGCACGCCCCCCGAGTGTATCCTGCTTTGGGCCCCAATATGTCACTTTAATATCAACAGTAAATGTCTTTAATGTGATCTCTTGTCTCCGTCCTCCAGAAAACACTGGAGGAACAGCTGGAAAGTCACAGGGAGGCTCACCAGAAGCAGCTCAGCCGCCTCCGAGACGAGATCAAAGACAAGCAGAGGATGCTGGATGAACTGACCGAGTAGGGAATCAATACACACACGCATACAATCACACTAAACTGGCGACAGCAGCACAGCACTTAGAATATCAATGGTGGATATTGGTTTGTTTGAGGTCAAAATGAGGTGAGGGGAACAGCATTTCATTTACTGGGATTTCTGTTTCCCTCAGTCTCAACCAGGGTCTTTTACTGGAGCAGGAGAGACTCATGTCAGACTATGATAAAGTGAAGGCTGAAGAGCAGGAGAAGGATGCAAAGCTGCAGGAACTAATGTAAGCACCAGTTCACCCATGCACTTCATTGAAGGGTGCAGAGCTTATTTAGCTGAAGATGTTGTGTAAGTGGTGACGTAATGGGTGTGGTTTCTGTCCAGGCTGCTGAACGAACAAAGGGAACAGGCCAAAGAGGACTTGAAGGGGCTGGAGGAGACTGTGGTGAGTCATGGTTTTGGTTGCTAATTGAATTCCCAACCCACGTACAGTCATGTAGTGTTAATGGTTGGCTGTTTTTCTGCAGCAGATTTGTTTTGTCACTTGGGTTGATCCCCTGCTAAGGAAGTCAAATGTTGTTGGTTCCCAATGCAAACAGTCAGAGTTTGTCTTTTGTCCTTTAGACGTGGGTTCAGTCCAGACATGGCACAGACCACATTGTCTTGACATCTCTAAGACATTTTCATTACAGATTTGTAGATGTCTGACTGTCTATTGAAGGGAAAGCATTATCTTTTATTGTGAGTCCAATTGTCTGTTGTGTCTCAGTTTGAACCACTATAATAATTACTCTTGTCTCTATTCTCTCAGGCCAAAGAGTTGCAGACTCTCCACAACCTCCGCAAACTGTTCATTCAGGACCTCACCACACGGGTTAAAAAAGTACTTCACCATCCTCTGGTTGTTCAGTATAGGTTTTGTGACAATGCCAGTTAAACATGGAAGCCTCTTTTGTTTTATTTTAGAGTGCAGAGCTGGATTGTGAGGAGGGACTCGGCAACGGAGCCCAGAAACAGAAGATTTCCTTCCTGGAGAATAACTTGGAGCAGCTCACCAAGGTTCACAAGCAGGTGAAGTAACATCCTAATATAGGAACATCTATATTTTCCTGAACTCAAAATGGAAATACTCAAGTAAAAGTACACTGCTAAGGTAAATGTAATGTTTGTTGTACACCAGCTGGTCCGAGACAATGCAGACCTTCGCTGTGAACTGCCCAAGCTGGAGAAGCGTCTCCGTGCCACAGCCGAGCGAGTCAAAGCTCTGGAGAATGCACTGAAGGAGGCCAAGGAGAACGCCATGAGGGACCGCAAGCGCTACCAACAGGAGGTGGACCGCATCAAGGAGGCTGTGCGCGCCAAGAACATGGCCAGGAGGGGCTACTCTGCTCAGATCGGTGAGCTCTATTGTCACTTTCTCTGTTAGCTGACGAAAATATGATGCAGATTCTTTTTTTTTTTCTTTAAAAGTTGGGAGGAAAATAAAAACTGAATGTAAATAATCATTTGCTTTGTGTGTTTCAGCCAAACCCATCCGTCCAGGCCATCATCCACTGTCATCCCCCATCAGCAGCTGCATCAAGGCCGGCGGCATCTACACCTACAGCCACTAAAACCACAACAGCAAGTTTAACCCTGTGAGTGCATTTTAATAAAATGTCTTTAAAAACCTTTGTTACATCAGTAAAGTAAATAATAATAATATGTAAAAGTAGTTTTCGCATCTTTCCATTGTCATATCTTGAGTTTTTTTGGTTCTTCCTGCAGACGGACCAGAAACCACTCAACGCATGCCAACCAGTCCACCTGGAGCCACAAGCCCCGCCCCTTACAGTTGGCGTGCCAGTGGGAGATCATCACAACAGTTTGTCGTTTCTCAAAAAAACACACTGGTTTCATTTTCTGAACGTAGATGTCAAAGGCCTCATTTATAACTTTACGCAACAGCATCAAGTGTAACATTTACAAATGAAGCCCTGAGTAGAAGTTTAGCAGGTGACTTGTTGCATCTTTTTGTTTTCTGACTTACGATTAAAACCTTCCAAAGCTTGAAGAGCCAAGTGGAACAGACCAACCTCTAGATTATTCATTTAATCCTAAACCAGCATTCATTCATTTAAAAGAATACTTCTGACATTTTGGGAAACATGCTTATTTGCTTTCATAAAAAGAGGTTACAGTTGAGGCAGAAATGATATTTACATACTTTATGCAGATAACACACATATTGACGCACAGCTCGTAATGTGTTTCACCCCCTCGCCTCTCAAAATACTCTTTGTTGGATTTCTGTGCAAATATCTTGAGCTGTGTCCTTTTTTGACATCTTTCTGTTTTTGTCTCCCGACTGCTGACAATCGTCCAAAAAACTCACGCCATCGAGCTTTAGAACGTATTTTCATAATCTGTGCTGTTTGTATAAAATCTGATGACCCTCGCTCGTAAATTGCCAAAGGGGTTTGAAAAGTAAGTGTGTCTTTTTTAAAGCCCAAAATGACATTAGCTTCTGACCCCTGAAGTCACAAATTGAATCATGTTTTAAGAAAGTAAAGATTTTATTTAACTGATTTGTTTTTTATCATTTTATCGTCTATTTGAGTTCCAGGATTTTGTGCGTTGAAATTATAAGATGTTGCTTGCTTGTATTGTTCTGTAGCCCTGCAGGGACACTGACCAGCCAATCAGATGCTCCTCGGACTTGGACAGTAGGAGAAGCTCATTTTTTAAAATATATATTGAACTATTATTAAACATTTAAGGGTGCGAGTCAAGAGTCTTGTTATGTTTTGCACTCGCTCTGGAAAGTTCCTGATCTGTAAGTCAGAGGACTGAAAACCCAATGAGCTTGAGATGAAGTCAGAATCTTCAAGTCCAACAAAAAAAAAACTAAAGCAGAAAAATGTACTGATTTTGAAATTCGTGTCCCTCTGATTGGCTGAGAAGTCTGTTTTTCACTCTGCCACACCTTGTGCCTTTGGAAACACCTGGACCACCAGAATAACAGACTTCATAGGGTTGACCATTGTTCAAATATTTAAGAATCAACATGGTGAATGTTATTTACATTTAAATGCCCTCTGCAACTTCCTAAGAGCATTAGATTGTTATCAATGAGACTCCTTTACCCTCTCGTCGTGTTTTTGCTGCTTTCCTTTGTGCTGCCAGCTGAGCATGTTTTTGAATGTACATTAGCACCGATACACTGGACGGCTGGTTAAGGCAACAGAGCTTCTGGATAATTGCTGTCCCAGATTTGGCCAAATCACGACTCTGAGCCAGATTATCTCCTTCCTCACTTGATGTCTAATCATTCGATGGTGGTTGTCTGACAGCTGCAGCCGCACTGTCCACGGTGTACAAATGAATGTAACTGCATGGAGTAGAGCTTGTGTTAAAGGCATGCTCAGGGAGGGCAAACAGGCGATTTGTATACGAGATGCGTTTACCTCATCATGATGTACATTTTGAGTTTGCGAATAGTTTTTTCAGTTCCCTTCATTTCTTTTGGCTGTGGCATCATATCTGAATATACCTACAACAGATGCAATTAAAGCTAATAAATATATATCTATTTAACTTTCAATTTGGTGTTTTATTTTGATAAGATTACAGGCACGGCTTTCAGATATCGTCATGATATAATCTTTAATCCCTATACATACATCTCCCTCTGTAACATTGCACATCATCGTCATCTTCAGTTTTGGACAGAACACACAGATGGGGTATTTTGGTCAGGTCACAAGTAAATTAATAAAAATAATCTATAAATAATAGAAAAATCTTCTCCACACAATCACATATAAAGTTCTACATATTGAATACAACAATGTAACAGGACGGTTAAACCATTGTATCTGTACAAATAGATTTTCACATGTTCTTGTCACATATTTCACATATTTTATGATATACTACACTTTTGGCCAACATTACAGAAAAGCGAAGGGTTACAGGCGTAACCTCGGTTCTCTGAGTCTTGAAAGGTTCCCGAGAGTGAGGATACTTATCATTAACAAGTTTCTCTTCTCCGAACCTCGGTCAAATAATATTTAAAAGTCATTTTAAGAGTTAAGCATTTCATCCTGTGTTCTTACTCACTGGTAAATATTATTTGGCCCAGGTGTCACATTTTTTACAGAACTAATCAAAGCCTCAGCTTTGATCATTTCTTTTTCTCTTGTATTCAACATGATGCTGGCGGACGATATTTATGTTATAAAGCCACCATACTGCACACTTTTACTGCCGAGAAAAATGAAATCAGTTGACGGTAACAAACACTCTGGTAAACAACATGGTCAGGGCTGGGTTTTCTCAAAAAGCATCTTTTGACTATGTCCATCACTGTGCAAAATCCACAATGATGCAGATAAAGCTCAAAATGTTAGATTCTTTGTACCCTGTCCACACGATGTCACAAGAATATAACTATGTTTGGAGATTTTTGTTTTTAAAGGCAACTGCACTTCGTCACTTCTGTATTCCCGTGTTGTCAACCCCTGAGGGGTCGGTCACAGCTGAGAGTGTCGGTGAGGTCACATTGGGTTTGGTCGCCCACCTGGTGGTCGTGTGACAGTGTTAGGAACGACGAGGAGGCAGTCTGCAACACCACTAATCTCAATTTAGCCAAGTTTTCATCTAGATTTCCCGCATTTAAATTCCCAAAAGAAAAAACGAGGATGAATTGTTCTACGTTAAAGTAAAATATTTAAGGTTTGAAATATATTTTTATCATCTTAAAGAACTGTTTTACGTGGCACAAAGGCCAAAAATAAATTGAATTTATCTGCATTATTGAGCACATGTTGCAACTTAATCAAAAGCTGCACATAGCAAACACCGCCCTGGTCATTCAGCACAGTTGCAACACAGATGCACACACGTTCACATGCATCCTCCACCTTTCACACAACCATACAGCACCCGTGTGCACTCCCCCACACACAAACACCCACAGAAACGACAAAGCTCGATGTACGCGCTTTTCTATCTACACCCAGGAGTCAGGGGAGCCAGTGAACTTGTTCGCCTTGTTTGAAGGCCTCCGCGTGGTAGAGTAGAAGTCCACGTAGTTGGTGTTAGCTTTGAACCGGAGGGACTGGCTGGCATAGCCGTCGGGGGAGGACGGGGTCAGGTGGACTGGCTCGTCGTCATACTGCTCCTCTCCAAAGCCTTGTGGGGAGGACAGGTACATTCTGTAGCTGTTGTAGTTCTTCCTGTCGGGCTCATCGTAGAATGGCTCTGGGTGCTGGGACAAGAACAAAGCAGGGATTTATTGACCAGGGAATAATGATTATGTCACGTTAAATGTGAACATTTATTACTTAAAAGGAATGATAAAAAAATTGTTGATTCATTTTCTGTCAAACGACAACTAGCACCAATGTGGCTTTAAAAAGGTTCTGACCTGGGATCTTCTCAAATCCTCTCCTGACTGGGAAGAATATGTCCCAATGAAATACGGCGTTTTCTTCTCAGACCCTGAGCAGAGACGGGAGAAAAACATAAGTCCGAATTCGAAGTAAGACAGAAACACCATTAGCATAGATTGACATAGATCCCTGAGGGACGGCATCAGTAAAAGCTACTTAATGCAAACCTGTGTACTGCTGTTTGTGTAAACTGTTGTCTCCGTAATAGGTGTCGAGTTGCATAGATGACTGCGCCCTCTGATAGTTTGAACTGTGTCCTCGTATCCCGAGCATCGCTGGAGAGGATGTCGCACTACCACCTGAGAAAAAAGACACAACAGTATTTTCTCATTAAACATTACAGTCCACAGGGTTCGGTTCTCGTAGGTTTTTCCAAATTGTTTGCAAAGGAAGATGTGTTTTGGTCTGACCACACTCACCAGATCTCTCACCTGATTGGATAACAGGGGACATTTGCAGAGGGCTGGTGGGCAGGGTCGGCTGGGAACGGTAGCGATCTCGCTCCAGGGTGGAGACGGGAGTGACGAAGTGGGTGTAGTTCCATCCATCCTGCGCAGAGTTTACATCAGCCCAGTCAAAAATAAGATGTGCGTTTCACATTCTGTGTGTCTTATGTTGTGTAAGTATTGGTAGACCATATATTTGCATCACAGCTTTTATTTCCGGTTGAATTTTTTGTGCTGGAACCTACCTGTTTGTAGAGGCTCCGCAGCTCCCTGTACTGCCACAGCGTGTTCAACACCTGAGCCGCTGCCTTCACAACCTTCATCGAATACCTGCAGAGAAGAAGAAGAAATATAACATCACAGAAAATGATTCCACGATGGTTTATGTTTTAAAATCAAAAGTCATTAAAGTTAATTACTAATAACGTTCAACATTCGTCTGCTGTTTCATACCCTTTCCCTCGTCCTTTGCTGATGTCCACCAGCCTCTCGATGCCTCCGCTGTCGGCCAAAGCTTTGGCGTTCTCCATGTTGCGGCTGGTGACCTCGTGCAGCGTGCAGCACACCGACGCCACCGTGTCGTCCGACAGCACCGATGGGCTGCTGCCGGGCAGTCGATTCACCAGATCGCGCATGGCATACTTTCCTGCAGTGGGAGACATAGTGAAATATTATAAGTCTGGCTCAGTTATGTAGAAACATTAGCATTCATTTGGAGTGGTGTCGAGTATATTCGGTCGAATATTCACAATTTTCCAGCCCTGTTTTTGGTTTCATCCAACCCCTGAGGGAAATATCTGCCTCTTTATCTGCTGAATGCTCCATTATGTTCACCAGCTGCTCTCTAACTGTGTCTGTCTGCTGTTTGATGATGGGCAGGTTGAAGTCAGTGGCTTTTTAGAGCCTTTTTCTCTATGAGAGCAGTGAGTGAACCAAAACAATAATGTACTATAATGATAAACATTAATATCAGGCACTTAATCCACACTGACTGTCATGGGCTCTTCATTTAATCTTGTTTGTTCTATGTGAAAGCTTCTTCATGATTTCTTTCTAACTCTAGTGCACAAGGGGGCGACGTGTTCTCACTCTGTCAAATCTGATCCTGCTCGATATGCATGGATGTTGTGTCCATGAGCTGTTGACGTTCCCCACTGAAGTGTGAAGATGGTCTTTTCGCAGCTCCTCAGCCGAGCTGGTGTCAATTTGTTGACTGGGTGTGTGTGGGTGCATGTGTGTTTCAGTGTGTGACTGGACCTATGAGCTCCTTGTTGCGGCTGTCAAGAGCCATGTTGCGGAGAGCTGTGGCGACGGAGCAGACGACCCGGTCGTTGTCCATCCTCAGCAGCTCCACCAGGATGGGCAGACCTTTCTCCTTACGCACCGCCGCTCGGATGTACGCCGAAAACTGCACACACACAGATTCTTTGTTAAAGTGACAAGATCCAACTCGTACACGCAATCTTTTATTATTTCACATGATAGATTCTGTCATTTCGCTTTTCTCGCAGCTTTCTTTGCTGGTTGTACGTCAGTTATCATGCACCACTCAGTAACACATTGTCACTTAAGTATTTGAGGTTTTGAGTCTCACACTTAAATTTGGCAATTTCTTTTAACTTAACGGACTGCAATCATGATTATTTACCATTAAAAAGAAATCTTAAAGATTTGAAGCCAAGATTCAACCCTTAAGTCACTTTTTCACATCTATTGCTTCTACATATTAAATCATCACATATGAGTGAGAAACCTTACCTTCCAGTTTCCAGCGGAGAGGTTTTGCAGTGACCCGGCGGCACCCTCCAGCGTGGCGGGGTTGGAGCTTTCGGCCAGCAGGTTGAGGTACGGCTTCACCACCATCGGGTGCCACAGCAGCTCCGCTCCTCTCAGAGGCTGGGAGAAGCCTGGGATTGGCCCCACGTCATCCCACTGCACAGCCAACAAAGATTTCCAAATAAGACCTGGAAAATCTCCTCCACCCTAATTAAAAAGTTCACCTCTTGGAAAACCCCACCCTCTGTTTGTACCTTGTCGTCGGGCCAGCCGCCACGCTTCCTCCCGCGCCTCCTCTTGCCCCAGCAGAGGTAGTCCAGCTCTTTGCCCGGAAAGGAGAAGCCCAGCAGGGTGTCGAGCTCCTGATTGCTGAGGAGACGAGAGGAGGGCATCTCCACCTCCAGCCGGTACGAGAGGTTCCTCAGGGTGCAGATGCTGTTCTCCACAATCTGAGGAGACACAAAAAATCCTCTGCACTCAGTACAAGGAAGATGGAGCCTGAAGGTGGCGCTAGAAGGAAGGAAATAGAATCACTGTAATAAGTAGGACTGGTTGTAGTTATGTGGAAATATTTATTATATATATGATGATGTTACTATGCTATTACTTTTAGTTTTATTACTTTTTCAAATGTATTCTGTGCTGATTATAGTTACGTGTTTAGTATTTCTTTGGTGATAATAGTGGTAAATCTTTTAAGACCTAAATATGATCATCCTATCCATGACTATATAACTACAATGTAATCAAACGTCTATTAAAATGTAATCTGAGCTTCTTATAGTTTATTTATTTCGTAGTTCCTCGGTTATAATAGTTCCAGTACTAGAATTATACATAATAGTAGAAGTAATGGTGAGAGTAGCAAGCACAGTAACAGTAGGATCAGATTGTGTTTTCATGACATGGTTCACTTCTGAGCTAGATTTAGGTTCAGGTGCAGTATCCAGGTAATAAACCTGTGTGTGTG